CCAAAACACACATTGTAAGAGCTTATAAAAAACAGTCAAAGAGACTTGAGTTTCTCTTTTTTTATTCTCCTATGTCCTGAGGCAAATGTGAGCAAACAACTAAAATTCCAGAGAACACTCACAAAAGAGACAAAAGAGGAGAAAAAATGAATCTAAATAATTCACAAAATTTAATGCTCCCATTGCTTCAAATTGACATGAATAAATAAAAGTTGGTTGAATAAAAACCAAAATGACATACCACCTCACTCCTGTCAGAATGGCTATCATCAATAAGTCAACGAACACATGTTGGCAAGGATGTGGAGAAAAGAAAACCCTTGTATACTCTTGGTGGGATTGCAGATTGGTGCCGCCTCTATGGAAAACAGTATAGAAGTTCCTCAAAAAATTAAAAATAGAACTACCTTATGACCCAATAATTCCACTCCTGGGTACTTAGCCAAAGAAATCCAAAACACTAATTCAAAAAAAATATGCACCCCTAAGTTTATTGCAGCACTATTTACAATAGCCAACATATGGAAACAACCAAAATGCCCATCAACAGATGATTGGATAAAAAAACTGTGGTACATTTATACAATGAAGTATTACTCAGAAATAAAAAAGAATGAAATCTTACCATTTGCAACAACATGGATGGGCCTAGAGAATACTATGCTAAGTGAAATAAGTCAGACTGAGGAAGACAAATACCATATGATCTGACTTATATGTGGAATCTAAAGAACAGGATAAATGAGCAAACAAAACAGAAACAGACTCAGAGATAAAAATAAAAAATTGATAGTTGTTAGATGGAAGGGGGTGGGGATTGGGGAGAAGGTGAAGGGATTAGAAAGTACAAATTGGTAGTCACAATATAGTCATGGGGAGATGAAATACAGTATGGGGAACATAACCAATAGTGTTGTAAAGATTATGTAGGGTGCCAGATGGGTACTGGACTTATCAGGGGGATCACTTCATAGACTGTGTAGATGCCTGACCACTGTGCTATACACCTGAAACTGAAATTGAATAATATTGAATGTCAACTATAAATATATATATGTACATATATATGGAATGTAAAGTATAGCACAGGGAATATAGTCAATGGTATTGTAACAGCTATATACGATGTCAGAGGGGTAGTAGATTGGGAGGTTATCACTTTGTGAGGGGTGTAAATGTCTAACTATATTATGTTGTTTTATACACCTGAAACTAATTTTTTTTAAGTTGGTTGAAATTGCAAGAAAATAAAAATATTTTGCAGTGTTTCCAATTCTAACAATAGTATTTCAGATGAATTATGGATCAACAAGAAGAGACCACACTCACATGCAGGTACACACTCACATATAAGTAGAATAAGTTTAAGTTTCTGATTTAATTAACTAATGCTTCAGAATATGAGGTGGCCTTAAAGGGCAGAAGCAGATTCGTCCTTCCCTAGTCTGGTTCCCATGGTGACACTTGATGTATGACCATGCATCTAGCAACACTAAATTTCCTGACATCAGAGTCGTGATATTTTTTAGCACACGTTCGGTTATTCGGTGCTTTCTACCATCATCCTGGGCTTTCAGCCTTTCAAACACCAAGCTAGTTTCTATTCATTATAGCCATACAACTCATTCCCACACATGCTTTAGATCAAATATTACCTTCTTAGATCCAGACTGCCCTATATAAAAAGTATTCTCATCATTCTCTATCTCCCAAATCCTATTTTACTTCTCTTCATAGTACATATAACCACATTATTTGTCTACTTTTTATTGTTTGTGTCCTCCATTAGATTGTAAGTTTTGGAGAGCAGGAGCCCTGTCAGTTTTGTTCATTGCTATATCCCTATAGCAGAGAACAGTTCTCAGTAGATAGTAGTCTCTCAATAAATATTTGTTAAATAAATAAACAATGGGAAAACAACAGTTTGTGAAGAAGAGAATCAGTCTTAATTTAGATATGTTAAAGTTGAGGAGCTTGAAATAATGGGGTAAAAATGGAGAAAGATTTAGAAGCTACCCACTCAGGTGTGATAAAGGAAGGTAAATAAAACTGGTGGCAGTAGATAAGTTCCTTCAGGTAAAGAAAAAGTGTTGAGAAAGAAGAAAATGGGCCTGAGCAGAGAATCTCATAGAACCCTAGTTTCTGGGAGAGGGAAAAAAAAGGTATACAAGAGAATTCAGTTAAAGTTATGTGGAATAAGCTGTCAGATGAATAAGAAATGAACCCTAGGCAGATAGTTCAAAGAGGCAGAAAATGGTCACTCCAGCCCAAATCTGCAGGGAAGACCAGCCAGATGAGGAGCAGGTAGAGTCACTGATGGCCTCTGAAAGACCAGTTACAGAAGAGTGGAACAGAAATCAGACCTCAATGCCTTGAGGTATGAAGACGACAGAGTGAAAGGGTGGAAGAAGAGAGTCAAAATTCTCTTTTTGTGTGACCTAAGCTCTAAAAAATATTTGTTAAATAAATGAGTGCATAGATGAATACATGGACATGATTTTCTCCCCTGAATCAAGATGACACATAAGGGCTAGCCGAGTAGCTCAGTTGGTTAAGAGTTATCTTAAGAGCATGAGCTCTGAGCAACAGAGCTGCCAGTTTGATTCCCACATGGGCCAGTGATGCTGCGCCCAAGCTGAGCTGCCACTGAGCTGCCAACAGGTGGCAGGATGGCTCAGCTGGTAAGAGCACATGCTCCTAACAAGACTGTCTGTTCGATGGTGGGCTACGCCTGCCCCAACTAAGACTGAACTCGGCACCTTGAGCTGAACTGCCTCCCAGATGGCTCAGTGGATAGAGCATGGGCTCTTAACAACAAGGCTGCTGGTATGAATCCTGCATGGATGGTGACTACGCCCACGTGCAACTAAGATTGTAACACAGCACCTTGAGCTTAGAGGCCACAAGCTGTCGATGGGCAGCCAGATGGCAACTGGTGCCCTCCGCAACTAAGACTGAAGAACAACAACTTGGCTTGCCCCCCTTCCAAATTCCCCAACACTGTTTTCCTCCCCCAATTCCCAGTTAAAACAAAAAGAAAGAAAGAAGAAAGAAACAAAGAAAGAAAAGTGTATTTTGTTTACCAATTTAATCCCATGACCTCAATCACAATTTATGTGCCATCTGTTTTTCTTTTTTTAAATTGGGGAATCGGGGGAGAGGAACAGTGTTGGGGAATTTGGAAGGGAGACAAGCCAAGTTGTTGTTCTTCAGTCTTAGTTGTGGAGGGCACCAGTTGCCATCTGGCTGCCCGTCGACAGCCTTTGGCCTCTAAGCTCAAGGTGCTGTGTTACAATCTTAGTTGCACGTGGGCATAGTCACCATCCCATGCAGGATTCATACCAGCAGCCTTGTTGTTAAGAGCCCATGCTCTATCCACTGAGCCATCCGGGTGGCAGCTCAGCTCAAGGTGCTGAGTTCAGTCTTAGTTGCGGGTGGGCATAGTCCACCATTGAACAGACAGTCTTGTTAGGAGCATGTACTCTCACCAGCTGAGTCATCCTGCCACCTGTTGGCAGCTCAGTGGCAGCTCAGCTTGGGTGCAGCATCACTGGCCAATGTGGGAATCAAACTGGCAGCTCTGTTGCTCAGAGCTCATGCTCTTAAGCTAACTCTTAACCAACTAAGTCACTCAGCAGGCCCACAAAATACTCTTTTCAATAGCATCAATTGCATAAAAATATTTCCCTAATAAAATCAATGTAATGAGTTTTCCCTCAATAAGCATACAGTTTATTCCTGTAACTCATTTTTAATGAGCTCTTATGACTTCTATTTGTACTGTGTTTTCTATTTTAGTTTAAAATGCATTCTTAGTTATGGAGCCTTTAGAAAATTACCTTGAGGCCCTTATCTCTGTCTCAGTGGGCACTGACTCTTGTATTTTTTGGAATTGAGGGCCTCTCAGCTGTGCTCCATTGATTTAGCTTCCCAGGCAGGCCAGAGTCAACTCTGATGCATAAAGGAGTATGTCCTAAAGTGAAAAAATAAGAGACCTAATTTGGAAAGTAACAGGGTAATAAATATATGGAATATGAGTATCCATTTAGCTTTCCACCAGAAGGACCACCAAATAGTTATATAAATAAACATATTTCTAGTGGGATTTAAACATAAAATTATGATTAAATTTCTTGTTTTTCTGAACACAGCAGAGCATGAATCAAAATCACCTGAAGGATTTGCTTAAAAAGGTTTGCTGGGCTACACACTCTCCCATTTCTGATTCAGTAGTCTGGGATGGAGCCAGATAATTTGAATTTCTAACAATTACTCAAGAGATTGGGATGCTGTGAGACACACTTCTAAAACCCACAAGCTATACCACAGGTTTTTATAACTTCTTTTCTTAATTTTCTGTTGTTCTTCAGAGAAAATGAGTCAAAGGCTCATTTAAGCACTACTGCCCTGACTTATGTCAGTTTCATTTGTGAAAAAAATAAAATAAAATAAAACTTTAAAAGCAAGAACAAAGTTATGTTATTAGGAGTAGCCAAACCTGGATTTCCAGCCTTCTACTCATCTTTAAGTGAAATAAAGGTTTTATCTTAGTCAATAGATGTTAATGCCTCTTAAAAAAATAAGCTCAACTGAAATCACACAAATGTGATACAACTTTCTATACTAAAAAGTGATTTTCTTTTATTTGCAAAACATGCATAATACACATACGTGTCTCCATCAAAGACTCTTAATACCTGAAAAGGAGGGTGGTCATAAAATGACAGGAAAAAATAACGCTCATTTGCCACACAGATCTTTAATTTTCCATTTATTATTTTAAAGTTTAAAAAATGCACACCTATAGTCTAAACAATCTAAAAGTAGATTGTAATGCTTAAAGTGGGATCTTTACAAGTAAATTATTTTTCTTCCTTTGCTTAATGAATTGATAAAAAGTAAAGATACAGCATGGTATCATAATTAGGGCATAATCTGACTATGTGTGCAGAGCTGACAGGGAAGCTCATTTGAGGCTATAAATGAGCTTCTCACCTGCTCTACACTTGAGTAATTCCAAACAGGTTTGGCCACATTGATTAAAACATTTGTAAGAACAAATTAATATTTGAGGCGATACCAGCTGTAGATTTCTGCTTATCTTCCAGTTCTAAAAACAAAACATTAAAAATAAAATTAAGGCAGTGCTCAACAAATATTTTTGGATAAAATATAGATATTAGTTTTCTCAGAGGTTTTATAACATTGATATCTAAAGGATATACTAGTCTATGTATGCTGGATTTTCGATTTTCCCACATACAAATAAAGTTAACTAGCTAAGAAAAACATACTCAACACTAAATAAAATTCAAATGATAAAAGCTTATCTATGCTTTTACCCAAACATATTATTATATTGCCCAGCCATAAAATGTTTTTGATGAAGGTAAATCACAGTACAGAATCCACACAAAACTAACTTCTGTCCTATAGGGATGTTAAAAGGATCAATTAGCAGACACCTATTGAACTCCCAATGGACATCTTGGTTTTGCCTGGGCAGCATCCATTTCCCATGTAAATTAGTCTTCCTAATATTCTTTGTTCACTGTCTGCAATTTTCATTATGATCTTTACTGGCTGTGCTTCAGGTAAGTTGTTCAATACATGGGCTTAAGGTTTATACTTCAAATATCTCTGATCTTACTTCTCAATGCAAAAAATAGGTAGTCAAAAATTCTGTTATCCAACTTAGTGTACGTGTCCTAACCACTAATATTAGAAATAATGGAACCTCAAAAGCTTACCATTTTTGGCTTTACAAAGAACTTCTGAAGCAACACAACTCTCCATGAGAAAATCCAAAACATTCACACAACTACTACTTTAAATGATTGATAATGCTACTTAGTTTTATCATGAACCCATTAACCTTCATCATCATCACAATCTATAGTCAATTTCTCATCAAAATGACAGAGTAGGTAAATGCTGTGTTTGCATCTTCTCAGGACTACATCAAAATTACAACTAAACTACAGAACAATGATAATTGAAAATTGCCTGAAGTCTAGGTGAACGGAAGTTCTGTAACTAAGAATATACAGAAGAAGCCACCTTGAGACAGGTAGGAGAGACAGAGACATAACACAGGCTGGTCCCACACCCAAGTGTGGCAGTTAAAAATCAGGAGGGCTATCTCCACTGCAGAGATCCCCCCAAACGAGTGAGGGATCCCAGCCCCACACAAGGCTCCCCAACCCAGGGTTCCAGCGATGGGAAGAGAAGTCCCCTCCACTTCTGGCTGTAAAAACCAGTGGAGACTGTGGCTTACTGAGCTGGAGGTAGGCTGGAGTCCCAAGTGTTCTTCTTAAAAGGGCCTGTACATAGACTTACTCGCTGGTGAACTCACTTACTCTGAGCTTCAGCACTGAGGAAGCAGCTTGAAAGGCACCAGGGACATACAGGGGAGAACTGAATTGTCTAGCCTCAGGACAAGGGCGGGGGGGGGGCAGCCTTTTTCCAGTTAGAAGTGCTACCAGACCTATTATTTCATTGTTGAGCCTTCTCCACTCCTGGCATGCAGAAGCACATGGTCGCCAAATCTGAGTCTCCATTAACCTGGCTACATCCTTCCTTTGCCGCACCCTGGTGATTCTGAGATCCTGCACCACCCAACTTGCAGGACCACCCAAGCAACTTCCAGTAACTTTTCCATACAATTGGCCTGCCTTGGCTCATGCTGTGAACACTCCGAAAATCTCTCAAAAATTCACAAAACCAAACAAGTAGTATCTGGCCTTGGCATGCCCCATGCCTTGTGCTAAGAAGCCCGAATCTTGTCAATAGCAGAAACCAGCCTTGATTCACAGGTTGGCTTCTCCCAGGCACCTCCAAGCCCAGGGCGGGTGACTGACATCTGTGAATTGCTTTGTGGCTCATGACAGGTATTCCTGGCAGGGCACAGACTTCAGCTGAACTTGGCTTGCAGCGGGGCCCCTCCCAAGAGTCCTCAGGGCTAGCACACCTGGTGACCAGCTTCTAACCAAGCTGGAACACCACCTAACTGCATCTATGGGTGACACACCCAAAGGGCAGACTGGGCAGGCACCAGAGCTTTGCTAAAGCAAAGCCTGCTCCATAGGGTCAGTCCTTGCAGAACAGCTTCTCCAGTGTAGTCACAGCCACTCTCACAACCAAACAGCCTGAGGGTAAATCCCTCACACTGATGTGCAAACAGCAACCAAGGTTTAACTACAACAGGAGGGCACACACAAACCACACAAGGGACATACCTGCAGAACCTGGATCAGGTGACCAGGGAGACTACAACACCAGGCCCCACAGGACACCTACTATGTAAGGCCAATCTACTAAAACCAGGAGACATAGCTGCCCTACCTAACACACAGAAACAAAAACAGGGAAGCAGCCAAAATGGGAAGACAAAGAAACCTGTCCCAGCTGAAATAACAGAATAAAGATCCAGAAAAGGAACTAAGTAAAATGGAGACAAGCAATCTACCAGACACAGAGTTCAAAACACTGGTTGTAAGGCTGCTTAATGAACTTAAGGGAAGAGGAGATGAACTCAGTGATCACTTTAACAAAGAGTTAGGAAACATAAAAATGAATATAGAAAACATAAGAAAGAACCAGTCAGAACTGAAGGATACAATAACTGAAATAAAGCATACATTTAAAAGTATACATTTGATTAGATGAAGCTCAGTGATTTAGAATTTAAGGTAGCAGAAAACACCCAATGAGAACAGCAAAATGAAAACAATAACACCAAAGTTAAGACAGTTTAAGAGGCCTCTGGGACAACAAGTGTATCCACATTTGCATCATTCAGGTAACAGAAAGAGAGGAGGGAGAGCAAGGAATTGAAAACCTATTTGAAGAAATGACAGAAATTTCATTATTGTTTTGTTTACTGTCCCACAAAAAATCTTTGAGGGTTCATTTAAAGATTCAAACTCTTAAGCACAGTTTTAACCCATCCTTGAGAGAGTAATAGCCTTTCAACCCTGGTGATAAATCAGTGGGGAGCCAAAGTCATACATCATATCACCTTCACATCCACCTCAAACAGTGACTATGATGTGCTCAAAAGATACATGGCACTATTCTAATGAGAAAATATTTTGGATAAAGTTGAACAATTGTACAGAATCTCTACAAACCTTACTTCTTTCCTAGAAGGAAGTTTAGTTTATTAATCAGTAAACATTGATTGAAATCCCCAATGGGCATCTTATTTTTTACTTTTCCAGAATTCATTTCCCATTCTGCTGGAATAAAATCTCACCTTTTCTTCAGAGAAACATACCTTCTCTGATTTCAGTGCATATGTTATAGCAGAGAGAGTGCAACTGATCTAACTCCCTGGCTCAAGACATAGCCACATAATAAGGCCCAGCACATGACCCAAGACAGTTCAATAAAGCCAAAGAGCACCAGCTCCAGCACTTTCCCTGAATCTATTGAGAGGGAAGCTCTCCCTTTACTGTCAGAGAGCACAATTTAGGGAGTTCTTACCTGACAGCAAAACCAAGACAAATAAAAGCAGAGATAATACATAGAGGAAGAGATTCCTGATGATAAATTTGGGTACCTCATCCAGCATGACTAAATACTCAGCCAGACCCATCCCGGGGCCTTCTTCATTACTTGAGTTAGTGTATGAGTTGGGTTTCTTAAAGTGCAACCCAGAGTTCTGACAAATCACAAACAACCTAAATCCTGCACCATATTAGGCAAAGTGCCAAAGATACCAAGATATATAAAAAGCAATTACTGCTCTAAGATATTTGTAGCATCTAATTGGAAAGATTAGACACAAACAAAAAAATAACTAGAAATATAAAGCTCAACACAATGATAGTTTCTACATGAGTTCAAAGAAGGGAGAACCACAATAGGCTGCATGTTAAGCAAATTTCATGATGTAAGAAAATGGTGAGCTGGGTCTTGAAGGATGATTAGCATGTGGCTTCCTGGAGAGAAGACACATTGAAAAGACATTTAGAAAGGGTAACTATGAGAGCAGGAGTCCAAGAATATACATATTGTATTGGAAAAACAATACAATATAAACAATAAATAGCCTATAAAATGTTGAATCATAAGATAACAATAAATACATTAGTCTAGGGAGTAAAATACATTCATAAGTAGTTTTCCAATTATAAACATATATAGCATGTTAAGTCTACTCTGTAAAAGATCATATTGATTAATTAATTAGATTGTATTTAACTGTTGAAGAATTTACTCATGTTTTTAAAAGGATGATGTTGAATAGCAAATAGCTATGTCATTTATGTATTTTTTAACTTAATTATTTTTTATTCCCATCCACCCACCCACCCTTCCCTTTGGCAACCATCAACTTATCCTCTATACCTATGGGTTTGTTTTTATTTTGTTTATTCAATTTTTTTTTTAGATTCCATGTATAAGTGAAATCATGTAGTATTCATCTTTCTCTGTCTGACTTATTTCACGTAGCATAATATCCTCTAGGTCCATCCATGTTGTTGCAAATGATAAGATTTCATTCTTTTCTAAGGAAGAGTAATACTCCATTGTATAATATACTCCACTATTTCTCCACTATTATACTCCACTATTTAATACTAATATTTAATAGTGGAGTATAAATACTCCACTATTTCTATATCCAATAATTTATTGATGGGCAGTTTCCATATCTTGGCTATTGTGAATAGCACTGGAGTAAATATAGGGGTGCATATATTTTTTTCAAATTAGTGTTTTGAATTTCTTTGGCTAAGTACCCAGGGGTCATAAGGTAGTTCTAGTTTTAATTTTTTGAAGGATATCTATAGTGCCTACACAAATTTGCAATCCCACTAACAATGCATGGGTGTTCCCTTTTCTTCACATCCTCACCAATACTTGGTGTTTGTTGATTTATTTATGGCAGCCATTCTGAGATGTGAGGTGATATCTCATTTGGCTTTAATTTACATTTCCCTGATAATCAGTGGCATTGAGCATCTTTTCATATGTCTGTTGGCCATCTGTATGTCCTCTTTGGATAAATGTCTATTTAGGTCCTCTTAATTTCCCTTTCTGCTCATTCATTAGTGGCATACATAAACACAACAGATTTTAATATATATCTATTCTGAATTC